GCTGAGCAAAGGCAAGATGATGGGATGAAACAGGGTTTGAAAACCTATAACCAGTTTACGTGGGAGGTGCATGGCTGAAACCGGGTCAGTTACGGTGAAGGGCCTTGTATACACGCTGCCATTGGCCACTTTTTCCTTATGTCCTATGTACTTCAACAACAACAATAGCAACATCAAAACAATAACAAACAGCAAAGCTAAATCTCTGCTTCTCTTCCAAATACACGACTCTCTGGCGGGTTCCCATCAACAACTGTTCCTCTTTATTTTCCCTTAAACAAACAGGAAATTTGTCTCAGGATCGAAATGAATGTTTAAAAAACAAACCTGATCTGCTTTAAATACTAAAATCTGTTTAAATAACACAGAGGTTGTGACATCCATTGACAAATCCAGGAAGTTCAAAGCCCCGCCGTTGACACAATGTATTGAGTTCTGCTGTTGTTGGCAGCCCGAACTGTGGCAGGTCCTGGTGTTTGTCATTCAGGTCCTCATGTGCGCAAGGCAGACATTCCTCAGACCACAGGGCTCTTTCTTCTTTCGGGAAACATTTGTATTTTTTTTTTTTTTTTTTTTTTTTTAAGATTTGTATTTTTTTAAATGCTTTTTGAAAGCAAGAACAACAATTGACAGTGATGGCTGCTACTTCCATCTCCTGAATGGCAAGCCCCAAGAGTAACTTGGGAGTCTTTCTTCTGGGCAGATTTTAGCTGTTTTAAAGGTTAGAAAAAGAAGTTTATGCTTTTACTGACATTCATCAACCTAAATTGAAAGTCTGTACCCATTAAACACTAATTTCCCACCCCTCCCGGTCCCTGGTAACACCCATTCTACCTTCTATCTCTATGAGTTTGGCTGTTCTAAGTGCTTCACATAAGTGGAATCACACAGTATTTGTCCATCTGCGTCCGGCTTATTTCACTGAGCATAATGTCGTCAAGCTTCACCCGTGTTATAGCATATGTCAGAATTTCTTTCCTCTTTGAGGTTGAATAATATTCCATTGTGTGTGTGTGTGTGTGTGTGTGTGTGTGTGTGTGTGTATATATATATATCACGTTTTGCTTACTCGTTCACCCATTGATGGGAACTTGGGTTGCTTCCAAGTTTTAGCTATTGTGAATAATGCTGCTCTGAACATGGGCTTGCAGATATCTGAGTCCCTGCTTTTAGTGGACTCTTATTTTCAAAAAAGCTGCATGGAGCTCATGTGGGGCCTTTCTGGCTGTGAGAGAAGGCTGACCTGGGAGTCAGGGCCTTGACTCCACTGCTCCCTGCCGTGAAGTCGCCGGGGCCTGGAGCAAGTCACACACCATCTCTGGGTCACCGTTTCCCCACCTCTGAGCTTAGGGAGTCGGTTGTACCTCCCGAATTCTGCCCCCAGGTGCCCTTGCATGGGACATTCTGTACCCAGACTTGCACAGTCAGAGGTGAAGGTGAAAGGTCTGTTCACCTGGCTTCCGTTTGTTCCTCGGTGGAGTTAGAAGTGGAGTGGACTCTTAGCACGAGCAGATTTGTCATTCACACACTTCCCAGTGTTTTTGAGCAGCCCTGATGGCCCATGGTATATGGAAATCTGTTGCTTTGCTGGGGCATGACCTTGAAGCTCATACAGGCTGAGATGGATGTGTGGGTGCAAGTCGCTTAGTGGGTGAGTCGGGCTGGACACCTGCCCAGGGTCCACCCCTCAGTGAGGTGTTGTCAGCTGCTACTCATCCCTTCCTACACTGTGACTTTTGTGAAGTGGTAGAACTTTGGTGACTGTGTGTGTGTGTGTGTGTGTGTGTGTGAGAGAGAGAGAGAGACACACACACACACACACACACACACACGGGGCGGGGGGGAAGAGGGTGATGGGAAATGCTTCTAAAAGATCTGACCGCTGGGGCTGGTGATGGAGGTAAAAGAAAGCAGAGAAGCCTAAGGAACTGAGGGTCCTTCTGGAAATTGATTAAAAAGTGAGCCATCTGCCTCCCCAGTAGCTCTACAGAATAAACAAGTTCACTATAAATTCCCTACAGAAAGAAGACAAACCTCATTGTGAAATTTCACTGAGTGTCTCAGCCAGCAGAAGATTTGCTCATTGAGAGAGAAAAATTTAGAGAAGTTTGAAAGAGGGGCCCAGGAGAAAGGCAGGAGACCATGCAGACGTTTCCAGGAAGCAGCAGATGGAAAGGCACCAGTCTGGCTATAAACCAACCTTATTTTCAAGTAAGGGCTGGTTTGAAAATTCTCAGAGGTATTTTTCTTGGCAAAAGGTGCAGTTAATAGGAACAAGCAGGCCAGCTGTCTATCTCATGGAAGACGAGATTCCTCCTAAGCTGAAGAAACTCGTAGAGGAACAGAGCCACAAGCCCTCAGCTGTGACTGTTGCAGGGCATGTGGGAGGTGATGGTTCCACAAAGGAGACTAAAGTCATATGAAAAAAGCCATCAGAGAAGACAACTAGAGGAGGCCATGTATGTATATGTATATCAAATCATCACGTTGTGCAATTTAGATATATACAATTACATTTGTCAACTATTCCTCAATAAAGTTGGAAAAAAAGAAAAAAGCTGGTAAAAAGGGCAAAGGAGATGAAGACAATGGTGAAGAGTTAAGAAAGGCTTCAGAAACGTTATGAGTTGTTCCGTTAACACCAAGCTGCCATCGCTAACCTCCGTCAGCAGAATGGAGGCCTTTTCAGCAATTCCAAGAAATAAATCTCTGTTGGCACCACCCCAGGAAATGTCCAAGAAGTTGCAAAAGTAAAGAGGGATTAATGAGATTAACTTTGGTTAAGACGAAGGAAGGAAAGGGAAAAAAAAAGTAAGAGAAAATGACAATAAAAGTAAGAACAAAAGGGAAGGTGATAGGGACTTCCCTGGTGGCGCAGTGGTTAAGAATCTGCCTGCCAATACGGGGGACATGGGTTCGAGCCCTGGTCTGGGAAGATCCCACATGCCGCAGAGCAACTAAGCCCGTGTGCCACAACTACTGAGCCTGCACTCTAGAGCCTGCGAGCCACAACTACTGAGCTTGCGCACCACAACTACTGAAGCCCGCACGCCTAGAGCCCGTGCTGCGCAACAAGAGAAGCCACCACAACGAGAAGCCCGCTCATCGCAATGAAGAGTGGCCCCTGCTCGCCACAACTAGAGAAAGCCCACGTGCAGCAACGAAGACCCAACGCAGCCAAAAGTAAATAAATAAATAAATTTATTTTAAATACAGGGAAGGTGATAAAAATGGGCACAAATGAGATAAGATAATATTTCTCCAAACTGCTAAATGTTAATGAGTGGAAAACATAGATGAAAAACATTTTTGGAAAAAATGAAAATGAGAAACTTGAATCCAGGAGAAAAAGAAGACTTGATTATGATTAAAGCCCACCCCAACTAGAAGCTCCAGGTCCAGAGGCAGTCAGGTCAGAGTAGAGACCACAGGTCCAGAGGCAGTCAGGTCAGAGTAGAGACCACAGTAAAGACCATCTTTATCCTTTATAGGAAAAGAAGCAGGGAAGCTGATGAATTAATTCATGTGGTTTGTATAACCGTGTTTCCAAAACCAGACAATTGCATTGCAAAATAATAAAATTTTAGGCCCACTTCATTTATGACCATAGATACAAAAGTCCTAAATATAAAATGCCAAATAAGAAGAGGGCAGGATGGGGGAAGAAGAGCTGCTCTTTGAGATAAAAGCTCTTTAAGATAAAAGCCACCGCTCCGTTTTCACTTTGAGAAATCTGTTTCCTCTTGTCCTTTGCTTTCTCCTTTGCAACTGTCTCTCTGACCTTGTTGGCACTTCTTTTTTGTTCCTGAAGACACCACAGGTCTTTTTCGTTATCAAGGTTTTTGCTGCAAATTAAGCAAGGAAAGCAAACAGAAAGTGACCTGAAATGAATAAACTACCACAAAGGTTCTAAGAGCTCACAGAGTTTGTGTACTGAATGTTCCTGGTTTATGTTTCCAGACTTCTTTTTGAGATGGTAAATGAATGAAGATGAGACCCATTAAACACACTCCCTCCTTCTGACCATCTGCTTGTTGCCTTGTTCCCAGCTTGGGACCTGAAGAGGCCTCCAAGACCGGACATGACGTCCCCTTGAGTGACATGGCAGTTGACATCTCCGAGGGCATCCAGCCTGCGTGACCCATCCCAATACGGCTTGCTTCTTACTTCTTCTCATTGCAAGGAAGCAAGTCCTTAGGGTGACCTTCCTCATGGAAGCCGTTTTGTATTCCAGAATGCAGAATTCTGGGAAAAAACATCTTTCCTGAGCAGACATTCCAAAGTTGGGTCTTTGCTTCTCAAAACTTCTTGTGCCGATGTTTAGAGGCACCGCTGGAGGCTGAGTCCTGTTACTGCCATTCCTAAGAGACTTTTATGTAATTTCTAGCTCTGAGAGATGTGGACTAACCTCTTCCCTCTCCTGTGGCTTCTAGATGTTTGCAAGTAATTAATTCATGATTTCATTGCTCCCTCCCTTAGGAAGTACCTGGTTTCTTAGAATGTGTGTCATGGGCCAGAAAGACAGGGGCATTAGGGCAGGGCGAGAGATGGTGTGTTAGCAAAGGCAGGTTGACAGCTAGGTTTTTAGCTGGAGGATCTGGGAACAGGTGAATGAGTACTTCTGACCCTGAGGATTCTTTTTGCACAGCTGAGACAAGATGGAAACAGGGATTCTTGCTATGCCCCTGCCCAGGGGAGAGACGAGTTTGGATGTTGGCTTCCAAACTCCTCCTTTGAAGAGTTTGGAAGTTAAATGTTTCTTTGAAGATTCTCACCTCAGAATAGGCTAGAACTTAGCATTTTCCGCTAAATACAGGGGTATTTGGGAAAGGTAATTAGGGGGACTAGGAAGTATTTGGGGCAAAAAGTCATGAAGTGGGAAGGCATGGCTGACGTCTGGGATCTGAACTAGTACAAACTAAGCTTGTGAAGAATGGCTTTGGAGAAGGTTGCCGAGGGCCTGCTGCTCTGATGACCTTTTGTTGAAATGATTTCTGCAGGTGATCACGGCTGGTTTATCGATATTGCTGTTTGATATGATCCTGACCAGGGCCACCGTGGGATGGTAAGTCTTTTGCATAGAGAGAGGAGAAGAAAATTCGTTGTTTGTGTTTCCTTGGGATACTAATATTTGCTCTCAAATGTTGAAGAAAGGGTGTGTGTTTGGGTATATATTTTATTGACATATAAATATACATTCAGAAGAGTGCATCTATCATGATTATTTTCACAAACTGAATATACCGCACCTGCTATAGCCAGCATCCAGGGCAGGAACCAGAGCGTCAACAGTACACCTTTCAGCCACTCATCCACACGAGAGCAACCACTATAGGTAAGCCACTAATTATGCGTGCATATAACTATAACTATGTTTGTGTTTTTGCCTTTGACCCTTCAATTCATTTTCTCCTAGTCAAGTTCCAGATCATCCTTGTTTAGAATGCACCCATCCATTTGCTTAAAGACAGCATTGCCTCTCCCTCCCGTATTTGAGCAGAGACCTGAAGGAAGTGGGGGAGCGAGCCCTGGGGACCCTGGGGGAAACAGCAAGTGCAAAGGCCCTGAGTGTGCTTGGTCTGCTCAAGGAGCAGTGTGGCCGGAACAGGTTGATGGGGGAGAGTAGTAGGAGATGAGGCTGGTTGGTGGCTGACCATGTGGGGTCTTAAAGGCCATTGTAAGAGTGAGGGGGGAAGCGATCAGAGGATTCTGAGCAGAGGAGCCACTTGCTCCTAGGTTAAAAACACATTCCTCAGTCTGCCATGTGGAAGATGGGCTGTAGGGTCCTACCTCTGAACGCTCTATACAGACTGCCGATCGGACAGCTGACGGAGTTAGGACTTTGATCCACTCCAGCTTGCTAGCATTCAAACCAGCTGATGTGATCATTACCAAGGGCTGTCGCTGTCATCTTCAGGGAAGATGAGGCGAGGTGGGGAGTGATGGTGAGTTTAAACTGTTAAGACTTCTGTTGCTCCTCTCATTAGTGGGCGTGCTTTATTTGGGGGGTATATACTTACGTATTTTAAATCTACATAGTAACGGGTGCTATTTGTGAGACGTTTAAGACAATGCAGAAATGCATCGAGTAAAAAGTAAAGGCCTGTCATCCTCTGCTTCCACCGTCTCCACGTGCCAGAAGTCACACCAGTTTGATTCAACAGTGAGAACGATGCACTGTTTGGTCAGGATGTCCGCGCTGAGGGAGGTGGGCTCTATCGTCTGCCAAGTGAAACCACACCGACGGGTGCCTGTCGAGCAAGACGAGCCTCTCAGTCACCCGGGAATGGGTCAGTCCTTGCCAAGTCTTCGCCCAGCCTCCCGGCTGCTGGCCGGATGACCCACAGCTTTCCTCCCCTATGACCACGGCTGCCTGCTGTCCGGCCTGAATCACTAATGCGGCACATTATGGAGAATAAGTCATATTTGTTGTTGCTACTTACTGGTCTCTTAACCTCTGTTTTAAAAAGGAAAAGAAGCCTAGGGCCACTTGAAGATAAAGCTTATTTCCATTCCACTTTGGATGCATTGTTTGACAATCCCCCCTCACCCCCGCCCCAAGAATGGCACTCCAAAACGGAATGGCAGACAAGTTTTAGAATAGGTTTTTCCATTTCTTTACCAGCATGATGGAAAGAAAAAGCATATTGTTGCTTAGCTTTGCTCAAATAAGGCATAGTTCTAGAAAATCCATATTTTTTCCCATTCTGGGGCTGAGAGTAATTCTAAGGGTTGGTTCCTCCCACCCCCTCCCTCCACTTTTTTGCATTCATGTGCACATTGGACCTGCAGAATTGTCACCTGTTTTGCTCAAAAGCCACAGTGCTGGTTGGTGGGGCCGGTACTCGTGCTCAGTGTGTCTAGGGCAGCCTCTCCTCTCCCAGGACGTCTTGCAAATAATCCCCTGCCTTGTGCCGTCATAGCCACACACACAAAAATGGTGTCATTTTTAAACATCAATATGAGGTTCTTGCAAGATAAATGTGAGGGTCAGGACCAGGCTCTGGGAATACCATGATGAGGAAGTCCAGGAGGTGACTTTGCATCTCATGTGGCTTTGGGCTGGGAGGGGTTGGTTCAATAAACAGATATTTCCTGGGGTTCTGTGTGTCAGGAACAGCTCTCGGATAAAAGTGTAAAGTCACTGCCCCTGGGATGTCTGTTATTGCTCATCTCCCTGCCTGAGGGCAGGTCTGCACCTAAACCATCCAGACTGACAGAAATGAATCTTTTTGCTCACGGCATTCGGTGAAAGCGATTTTCAACCCCTCTCAGGAGCCCCTAATGGGGCATTTCCTGCCCCAAGAAGAAAAACAGAAGGAAAAGAAAAATTAGGAAATACTCCCACACTCTCCTCTTCTTCCTCCTCCTTCTAGTCTCACCTCTTCCTTTGAATAATAATAACCATTTATTGAGCAACTACTATATTTCAGACATTTTTATATTAATATTATCTCATTAACTTTCACAACAACCCTCCAAGTTAGCCCTGTTTTAAAGATGAAGAAGCTGAGGTTCAGAGACATTTAACTGATTGTCCCAAGATTTTAGAGCTGCTAGGTGATTGGACCAGGATTCAAACCCATGTCTGTGTGTGTCCAACATCCCATAAACTTCACATACCTCCCTAGAAATGACGTGGGAAACGCCAAGGACTTAGCAGCAGCGTAGATAGTGTCTAGGTAGAAGCAGGTCATGGAGAGGTGGAAGAGACATTGGCCTAAATGTTTCTCTTCCCACCAGTCTGATCGTTTATAAAGAGCATCTAGATGATATGGCAGGAGTACAGAAGGAGTGTTACCCAGGATAAAACGGCTCTATTTCTTGTTCAGGGGCTGACACGGTGAACTAAGAATGTCCAGTGGAACATTTTTAGGAAAAGGATTTCATTGCCTTAGATTTCTTTTTTTAATTTATTTATTTTATTTTTTATTTTTTGGCTGTGTTGGGTCTTCGTTGCTGCGTGGGCTTTCTCTAGTTGCGGCGAGTGGGGGCTACTCTTTGTTGCGGTACACGGGCTTCTCACTGCGGTGGCTTCTCTTGTTTTGGAGCACGGGCTCCAGGCTCATTGGCTCTAGAGCGCAGGCTCAGTAGCTGTGGCGCACGGGCTTAGTTGCTCCGCGGCATGTGGGATCTTCGCAGATCAGGGCTCGAACCCGCGCCCCTGCATTGGCAGGTGGACTCTTAACCACCGCGCCACCAGGGAAGTCCTGCCTTAGATTTTTAATACTAGAGGCTATAATTCTATCAATCAACTAACAATATTTATTGAGTGACTGCTGTATGCAAAGCATGTGGAAGTCATTAAGGAACATAAGACATCATCCAGCCCTCAAGGAGTTTTCGGGAGAAGAAGTCATAAAGATAGTTTCTGCAGTAGGATAGTAACCGTTTGAATGCACAATGAATGTGAAGACTGGAGGAGAGAGAGAGGGTGGGGTGAGCTGGAGGGCCTTGGAACTGGCTTGAAACTGGACCTGATGCAGAAGGGAGAGGCTTAGTCAGACTGGGGGTGGAAGAGCATTTGGTCCCTCCGGCCCTGGGAGGACAGGGAAGGATGGAGGGGCAAGAGGTGCCAACGGTGAGACTTCGCGATTTGGAACCAGAGCTGGTGCTGGGGGGACAGGGAGCTGATCCTACAGTCCCTCCTCCTTACTCTGCACCTGTCCTTCTGGGAAGGCAGGACACAAACGGGCAGGTTGATGTCCGAAAACCTAACTGCCAAGATATCCTGGTGCATCCTCAAGACTCTTCCCCCAATTTCTTGTATCTTACCCTTCATAGTGATCGTCTCAACTCTTGACAGTAATTTTCCTTCTTACAAATAAGCCTCATTGATTGTATTTTGTATACAATTTCAGAATGAATTAAAAAACAGCAGAAAAACAAAAAACACCCAGGTGTTGAACTGAGTGTGAGAAATGAGCCTGAGATGCTCTCCAGTGGGGAGGCCGCGCTTAGTCTGAAGGTTCCAGCAGCCGTCTGTGCGTAGGCCATATCTCCAGGCTGTTCCACATCCTGTGGACTTCGTGGTACACCCTGAACAAGATGGAAAGAAGGGCTGTGTGTACCCAAATCAAGGAAACAGCACGTGTGATTATTGCAAAAGGAACCTTGACTTTGGAATTTCCTGATTTTTGAGAACTCTCGAATTTAAGGATCGTGTGTTTTCAGCCTCAAAGAATTTTCCAACCACAAAGTGAACCGCCAGAAGAGGAATGTCAGACTGTGTTTCAGATTTCCTGTCTTTTGCGCAGAGCTGATCTGCATTGTCCATAGAGTGGGTGTGTTCAAGCTGTGACTGGGTGACCAGCTCGGATCCTGGGCAGGGATCCGAGGCCAGTCTCTGTCCTGTGGGAGCTTAGACTGATCGGAAGTGAGAAGGCAGGGCTGCAGGCCTGTTTTGTTTGGACCTACTGTGTTTGCCTGTATAGTCATTGTTTCTTCTTTTTTGATTTTCAAATTTCAAATTACTCAGCATTTAGAAATCAGGTGATTTCCCTGTACAAGTCCAGATCTCCAGATTCTTTTGAAAATACGGAGCAGCTGTTAAGTTGGGCCTGCATGTCCACACAGCAGCAGTCGCTGGAGTGGGTCGAGGCTGCCCGCTCGGTGGACATGGGCTCCGTGAGTGAGCGTAGCTGCCACCGCTGCAGTCTGGCTGAGGGCGGGGACCCCGGATCAGCCGATATCCTCGCCTGCATTTGCTTGTATGTTCATTCATCCTATAAGGAGTGCTTGCTGGGCTCTGAGGCTCCAGACACAGTCCAAGACCCCAGAGAGGTCACCCTCCGGGAGACGAGGGCCCATGTAATTAATTGTCCACCTTCGTGGGTGGGCAACAGCTTACAGGCACAAAATAGCTCACTGTCTCAAGTAGGGTTTTTCACCCGCAGCACTGTTGACGTTTTGGGCCAGATAATTCTTTGCTGTGAGGGGCTGTCCTGTGTCCTGTAGGATTTTTTAGCAGCAAACCTGAGCCTTACCTCACTAGATGCCAGTAGCACCCCCTCAACTGTAACAATGCAAAACGTCTCAGGACATTGCTAAAGGTCCCCTTAGGGGCAGAATCGCCCCGGTTGGGAATCACGGATCTGAAGTTGTGAGGTGGTTAGTGGAGACATGCCATTTGAAATTTCAGCGAGATCTTAAGGAACTTGTTTATCTCCTAATTAGAGATTTGGATCAGCTCCAGGGTCAGGTCCTGGGCAGCCCTTGCTGCCCGCTCTGTGTTCCACGATCAGCATGAACCACACGGCGTGACAGGTGTGCACTCCTTGCCCACCTGCTGGCTGAAACTCCTCCAGGAAAGGAGCCACGTTTCGCTCACCTTTGCGTCTCTCCTTCCGGCACCATTTGCTGAATCAACAGGTACTAGGCTTCTCAATCCTGTACCCAAGAAAAATGATAAGCCTAAGCCCCCAACGTTGGTCAACTTTTAAAGCCTTTAATTAAAAGCAGCTGCTCTTGGGGACATCCCTGGTGGCGCAGTGGTTAAGAATCCACCTGCCAATGCAGGGGACACGGGTTTGAACCCTGGTCCGGGAGGATCCCACATGCCTTGGAGCAACTAAGCCCGCGCGCCACAACTACTAAGCCTGCGTGCCACAACTACTGAAGCCCGCGTGCCTAGAGCCCGTGCTCTGCAACAAGAGAAGCCACCGCAATGAGAAGCCCACGCACTGCAACGAAGAGCAGCTCCCGCTCGCCGCAACTAAAGAAAACCCGTGCGCAGCAACAAAGACCCAACACAGCCAAAAATAAATAAATGAATAAATAAGTAAATTTATATATAAAAAAAGCAACTGCTCTTGTCCAGCTAATTACCTTGTTTTTAACTATAAAAGCCCAGTATTTTAATATCTTTGGCAAGCCCAGTAATTTAAATTTCCAGATTAATATGTATTCACTTTTTAATTAACAACATTTTACAGTGCAGATCGATAATGAATTCCCTCTATTCTAAAATTTCGGCAAAGGGGATTCAACACATACAAAAGAAAAAAATTCTGAACGGTGAGTGATGTTCCTTTCGAGTAGAATTAGTTGTGTGTGCCTCCTCTTCGAATCCTCTTTAGACAAAGAGAGTCACTCTTCTCTGTGGAATAGTTTAGGTACAAGGAGAGAAAGGAATAACCAAAGCACAACCTGTTTGTTTGTAGGATTTCGTGATCAGCTCCTCACCTTTGCCCATCATTCACCGGGCCTGCCGTTGATCCTGGGCTGCAAACACGAGGATCGCTTCAACTTGATTCCAGTCCCAACCTCATTAACACCAAAATGGTGTTCTATCCTCTCTGAGTAGAGATGTCTGTGCCTTTAATTTTAGGGGAATGCTTGGAGACTGCCCAAGTCTCTTTGTAGGAAGAGTGAATTTAGGGGTGAAGAAAGAACTTCCACACACCCCAAAGTGCATCTAGGACCACAGTGTCTGAAGTTTTTCATTTGAATTAAAAATTTGAAACCTCTTCTTTAAAATGCTGAGAAAGGCCTTCATAACTATGCTCATTACCTTTCGAAACAGAGTAGTTTATCAGATTGTGAACTGTCACTCAGCAAGTCCCCAAGGGAGGGGTGAATTAGTTTTGGGGAGGAAAAGAGAGAAAAACAAAAATAGTTTGGAATCCAGATGGGAAAAGGGGGAGCAGTTATAAGAATTCCATCACTCACTGAGTAAATATTTATTGCGTGTTGTGTTAAGTGCTAGGCCTACAGCTGGGGAAAGGATACAGTCTCTGTCCTCTGTCTGGAGGGTTCCATAGGAATTCATTGAATCACCACAGTAGTACACGTAGAATTGAGATGGGGCCTTTGGCTCCCGATGGGAGAAAAGAGGAGTGGAGAGACGCTGAAAATAACCCCCTGGAGGAGAAGTGAGTGATGGATATTTCTGGCTGCCTCTGCTCTGCAATCTGATGTTTATGCCTTGTTACGTGAAGTTTGTTCATTTCAGGAATGATGGGGATTATAAGATTTGCAAACAGTCCAGTAAAGCTCTGACTTGACCAGCTGTAATGCGATTAAGATTCCTGCCCCCCTCCTTGTGTCAGCATCTCCCGCTGTTTAGAAGACAGCATCAAAGCTCACCTCCCTGGCTCTCTTAACAGTAAACGGAACCAGGTTTGTTTTCATGTCAGCGTTCCCTAAGCTGCTAGGTGTTTCATTAACTCGCTAAGCCAAGGGGATGAAATGCAAGTTTATTACGCTGCAGCATTGTTCTAAAGCTGCAGGTGTGAGGGTGGCAGAGAGCCAACCGATATCCTGCTCTCCCTGGTGATTAAGGAAGATTAGTGGAAATGACTGTGACCCCCTCCTGTTACATTGGCAGAAATAAAACTCTTCCAAAGCCAAAGTTCTGTACGGATCTTGCATCAGGTCACGGTGACTCTGCGCTTTCCCAGGGGTTTAAGAAGCTGGTATGTGCGTTCTTTAAGGGATGTTGAAGGAAACAGCAGATTGGCTAAGAAGGGAAAGCCAGATCTTTAGAGGTGAGCCTGTGTACAAAATGAATGGCTTCCCCTTCCCAGGCCCTTCTTCATCCAAAGAGAAGAGGCAATAGAACCTGCCAGCATCTGGGTCTGTCCCTGAACTAGACCAGGGACAAGCACAAATGGGTCACGTTTCACAATACGGTCTTTTGGAACTTGGACCCTAGTTTCTCCCAGGAACAATCCTATAAATGATGAGTATAGATCTAGGAAAGTCCTCAGAAATTTATTCGGTTCGTAATATAGACACAAACTTCAGCTACGTTATTATGAGCTTAGTATGCGTTAAAGAGAATTCATCGACTTATTGTCACTATTATAAGACTTCTGTAGGAAGGAGGAAAGTACGTTCCAACTTGGAGCTTAAGCTGTCAGGCAGACATCTCCCTCGGGCCCCTCTCCTCTCTTTCCCCCTTGTTAGCGGGCTCGGGGGTCATCCTCCCAGCCCACTCCCCAGTGCAGTCACTTGACTAGTGCCTCTCTGCCCTCACTCAGAGAGAGAGGCCTGACATCACCAGGGAGGGGACATGGCGGGGGTTCAGGGGATTTTCCCACTCTGTAGGTTGGCAGATGGGTGATGGGGGCGTAGATTTGTTCTCTGTTGCTCTAGAAAGCAGAACTTAGACTCACAGGTGAGGTTGTCAGGTCAGTATGAGGCAGGACTTCCTCCAGGAGGGAAGAATCTCGTGCGCCGGGACCTGCCACAAGATGCCCGTAGATGCCCGTAGATGCTTGCCTGAATCCCATGGCTAGAGCTGGCTTTGCAGAGCAGGATGGGTCCTTCACAAGGAGTTTTCAAGCAGAGGTGGGGAAGCCAGCCAGTGGTGAGGGCTGCTAAGAAAGGGATCCCTACTCTGGGAGAGCAGTCGAGAAAAGAATAATATTTCATTGCTTGCCCATTGTAGGCCACACACGGGGGTCAGCTGCTTCAAGTACGTCCTTCTAAGCCTCACAGAGATGGTTAGATGTGATTGTCTCCTGTGGTACAGCTGAGGAAACAGCTGAATAACACTTGCAGGATTACGTGGCTAAAATCACCTGAGCACAGTTTGAACTCAGCTTATTGTTTTTCTATTCTCACACTTATTCAGTTCACTGCTGTACTGGAAATGGTCCATGGTACAAGTTATCTTTATGTCGCAGTCACCCACATAGGTGACCTTTTCCACTGGGAACAGGATATGCACAGCCTAAGTGTGTTTCATACGTTCGGTGCCTTAGATATATGTTAGGAATATGGAGATGCAATAGCCCAAATGTGAGAGTGTGGTGTGTGGGTGTATAGGAGGAGTGGGATACTGGGCGGGTAAATGGGAGAAAAAAGGAAGAAGAAGGTGGGGTTGTTGGCACCTCTGGACAAGAGCATTTCATCCTCAGGGACCCCCATCAAAATCCTTTACTCGTGGCCCATCCCAGGCCTTAGAAGTGCTTTTGGGGAAGAATGACAGGGGATTCAGACAGACACCAGGTTGTCTACTGAGAAGTTTAAAATAGGAAATGTGCAGACCTTTCACTGTATTACCTTTTAGGCATGTTAAAATATCCAGCTCTTCTCTTTCTCACACTCTTCTGTTCTTCTGCTATGTTTTCATTTTCAAATCACTGACCATATACATATTTCTGCTCTGGTGGGAAATTCACGATTCCCCATTTGTATTTTCTTCATTATTCTTTTTTTAAAAAATATTTATTTATTTATTTATTTAGGTTGTGCTGGGTCTTCGTTGCCGCAGTCGGGCTCCTTAGTTGTGGCATGTGAACTCTTAGTTGCGGCATGCGTGTGGGATCTAGTTCCCTGACCAGGGATTGAACACCGGCCCCCTGCACTGGGAGCGCGGAGTCTTAACCACTGCGCAACTAGGGAGGTCCCCTCCCCATTTGTATTTTGTTTTTAAATGTTCTGTTATTCTAAATAAAATAAAAGGATTCAGAGATTGTCAGCTTAATAATGATAAGATTATGGATATCTGCATGATTTTATATTCATCAACCCTCTATGGCAAAAAGTACCAGGCAGCTCTGTGGGAAGCCCTCCTCCAATATTTCTGCCAGAGAGCATTAACGAAGGGCAGTCACTGTCACCTGGTCAGGATGGTTGGGACACATCACCTTCTTCCCTAAGGGGAGGTATCACAACTCACCTTGCAGCCCACTCCCCTCCCCCCGCACAGCTGAGGCTTACCCTGGACGACTGGGCAGTCCCTGGGCCTGACCTCAAAGTGGGGCAGTGCAGGCGGGGGACAAGATGCTCAGCTGCGGGATGAGGGGGCATCCCTTGCCCTGCGGTATGTGGACACCAGGCAACTCCGTGTGTCCACAGCCCCCAGGCTCCGGGGAGGGGAAAGATGACCTCTTGCTGTTTCTTGCAGCCTCCTGCTCGGCGGCCTTGGAGAGGCCTTGCTGGTTTTCTCCGAGCGGAAGGGCTCCTAAACACAGAGAAAGTGGACTCCCAGGCTGTAGGTGGAGAACACCGCCCTGGGCTTTGGAGCTCCCTGTCCCGGCGATAGAAAGAAGAAAGCAAGAACGATGAGACACTGCTGCTCGCTGCGTCGAGGAGAACTTTTTCTGGGGTCTCTGGGCCGCTGCAGAGAGTGGACTGTGTCGAGAGGCTCCCCCAAGTCCTGCTGACTGTGCTGTGAGCCCAGCTGTGCAGAAACAGATGCAGGATTCCACCTGCATGGGGATGGCTCCGCCCACCTTGATTGCCACGCAAGCCTCCTTACTAAACACCCTTCCCAGATAAGCGTTCACTGCCTGCTAGTGGGCCCAAGGTATTGCGTTGCCTTTTTGGTTTTGTTTTGTGATTTTACATCCCTGGAGACTCCTCCGGGGACCCCCTTTCCTTGCTGTCAGGCTGGCTTGCCTAGAACTCACACTCCCCCGCCTAGGGGCACAGAGAGAATTCCTCAAGCGGGGCTTCCACTGGGGGCGGGGGTGGAGGAGGTAAATGGGGGCTCTGGGCCAAGTAAGACACCAGCAAGGACACTACTTCTCCAGAGTGTGTGCTGAAGCCTTTTTATGGTTGTGTGTTGTGTTGAATTCCACACACCCTTTTGTGCCTACCATTAGGTTAACTTGGTACTAATGATTACCAGAGGGCATAGGATTAATAAGCATTGGTGGAGGAAACACCAAACAAACATAGCTGTGTAGGGGCTTCCCAGGTGGCGCAGTGGTTGGGAGTCCGCCTGCCGATGCAGGGGACACGGGTTCGTGCCCCGGTCCGGGAAGATCCCACATGCCGCGGAGCAGCTGGGCCCGTGAGTCATGGCCGCTGAGCCTGCGCGTCCGGAGCCTGTGCTCCGCAATGGGAGAGGCCACGACAGTGAGAGGCCCACATACCGCAAACAAAACAAAACATAGATATGTAAACGCACACACAGTTATATTCATAATCCATTTAATTCCCTGATATCTCAGAGGAGGTTTCAGATCACTGAACACTGAAATATATTTTTCAGGCCAGATTAAAAATAGGATGAAAACTCTAAACCTTGCCTTTATGGGAGTCAAAAGAAATGAATTTGCATGAAATGGTCATTTGATTCTGAACCCCAATGAAGGTTTAAGAAAATAATGTCTAACTCCAAATATTCCTGCTCATAATAGGTTTTCTGAATGCATTATACCCTGCCAGGTGTCAGTTTTGGTTATTTTGAGACATAGAAGGTAATGAAGTCCAGGGAGTCCTGTCCAGGAAGGATCCAGGCCCTGCAGGGTTGGACACCCCGTTAGTGATGAAGGACCACCTCCAGCATCTGGGAAACAAGCCTTGTCCATTCTTGGCCTTGTGAAGACTAAGGTCAGCTCAGTCAGGCCATTCTTCCTGCATTTTTTTCTCCAAGTTGTTGAAAAAAGAAACAAGATGAAACGAATAGGAATGGACTAGTATATTTGGACCTTGAGTACCTTAAATTCATTTCCTTGTCTTTTTCCTGGTCTCTGCTTGTCATTTAAGGTAAACATGTTCAGAGTGACCTTTATACATATATAGTTTCACTTTGCTTTTTGTTCCTAATCTGAGATGTCAAACCTTCTACCGAGGATCAAATAGAAAATCTGGGTTTACAATTTTCTTTGTTCTTTTGCTCCCACAAAACCGTGTCTGTACACCTGAGTCCAGTTCTCTCTTTGCAGAAAGTGGCATCTGTCCAAATGTCATCTTATGTCTGTCTTTCCAAGTCTCATTTGAGCAAATGGAGATTCCTAAGGCTAGAAAGAGCCATGTACAGTTAACAAACCCCGTCCCCTGTTCCAGCAGGACTGACCTCAAAAACTTCTGCAGCAGACAGAGAAAGACAAATACTGTACCACATCACTTATATGTGGAATCTAAAAAATAATACAGATGAATGTATTTGCAAAACAGAAACAGATATAGAAAACCAACTAGTGGTTACCAAAAAGGAGAGGGAAGGGAAGAGGCAAATTAGGGGTATGGGATTAAGAGATACAAACTACTGTATATAAAAAAGATGAGCGGGCTTTCCTGGTGGCGCAGTGGTTGAGAGTCCGCCTGCCGATGCAGGGGACGCGGGTTCGTGCCCCGGTCCGGGAAGATCCCACATGCCGTGGAGCAGCTGGGGCCGTGAGCCATGGCCGCTGAGCCTGCTCGTCCGGAGCCTGTGCTCCACAACGGGAGAGGCCACAACAGTGAGAGGTCCGCGTATAGCAAAAAAAAAAAAAAAAAAAAAAGATGAGCAACAAGGATATACTGTACAGCACAGGGAATTATAGCCATTATCTTGTAGTAACTTTTAATGGAATATAGTCTATAAAAATATTGAATCACTGTGCTGTACACCTGAAAGTTAATACAATATTGTAAATCAACTATACTTCAATAAAAGAAATAAATGTACCTCAAAAAACCAAAAAACAAAATTTCTGCTGCAGAGTTTTAGACCTTTTTTTTTTTCTTTTTAAAGAATCTCTAACAAGGATTTTTTTTGGCTTTTGTTTGTGTGATTTTTTTAACTTCATTCCAGAGTCCCATTGTTTTTAAAATCTCAGGTCTTTTCTTACTTTGACACTAGCAAGAGGCAAAGGATAAGATGTTTCTTCAATAGACCATCCTGCTTCCTTCAGCTTCCGTTTCTTCTTGGGATTTTTTCTTCAAGCTTTTACCACCATCTTTTACGCCCAAGTTCACGTGCTCAGCTCTGAACTCAGGGTGAGCCTAGAGGGCTGTAAGTCAAGGGCCTGGCCTAGATTACTGCTCTCATTGTCTGTGGCTCCCTGGGCCCCTGGCCCCTGGTGGGGAATCCTCAGGTTACCCCAGCACTCCCTTTTACCCGAAATGATCCATTTGGTCATGTCCTATCTTGGTCATGTCCTTGCTGGCCCCATGTCAAAGCCAGGGTGTTTTGTCTTTGTATTTGTCCAAATAAAGAATACGCTTTCTGTCAGGAGAAGCAAAGTTCTGTGTGATTGTGTATTATTACTAATCTCTTGTGGATATAAGGAAAAATAAACCATTTATTTTCTCGGTAATTGGCCTTTCTCTTCTCTTCAGCCTGGACAGGAGAGTATTGCAGAAAAGGTTGTTATCCTTGGGGAGTGAGTTCTTGCATCTTAAACACAGGCCCAGACTTCTACCAGCATCCAGGCCACTTAGCTCTGCAGAGGGAGGTCCACCCAACTCCTCCCTCTAGCCCTGCCCTGTCCCGTGTAACCACCAGCCGTGTGTGGCCGTTGAGTACTGAGAGGGTGCCCCACCCCTACCTACCCCAATGGTATTTACACCCCTTGCAGTTCCTGTCTCTTTCTCTTGAATCCGGTCTAGCTCTGACTTGCTTGCTGCCAGTAGGAGGTGATAGAAGCAGTGATCCCAGACTTCCAAGGCCAGGTTGAAAGCCTTGCAGCTCCTGCTTTGATCTTCTGGAACGGCCTTTGGGAGTCCTGAGCTGCCTTGTAGAAGTCTGACTCCCCTGAGGCAGCCGTGCTGGAGAGACCAGGTACAGGAGCCCTGTAGACAGTCGCTGCTGCACCCAGCCTTCTCACCACCCCACCAGGCTACCAGACATGTGAGGGGAGCTGCCCTGGACCTTCTAGGACCAGCCCATCTGCCAGCTGAGTGCCATCAAGTGATCTCAGTCAATGCCACGTGGTGCAAAGCATCAGAGTCTGCGTGAATGCCTGACCACAGAATCATGAGATACAGCAAAATTGTTTGAAGCCACTAAGTTTTGGGAAAACTTGTTATACGATAGAGAGCCTCGAATTCCCTTCGTCTCAGGTGGATCCAATCTGAGTACTCTGAGACCCTCCCCTGAATAGACTTGTTCCAGGAGAACCAGTCTGCTCCAGCTGCCTTCCGCCCTGGAGCTGCCTGGAGAAGGGGACCCCTGCTGAGTGTCCAGGGCTTTCCCAGACCCCCGTTACAGGGCAGGATCTGTGCCTTTGGGTCAAAGAACCTCATTCACTCATTCATTCATTCAAAAAATACTGAGAACCCACTATGTGCCAGGCTCTGTGCCTTTGGGTCAAAGAACCTCATTCACTCATTCATTCATTCAAAAAATACTGAGAACCCACTATGTGCCAGGCTCTGTTTCGGGCTTGTGGATATATCCTTGAATAAGATGGGTCCCCCTGGAGCTTACTTTCTAGGGGTGGAGACAGAAAATAAACAAGTAAATAATGGAATTTCAGAGAGAGTTAAGTGCTTTTAATAAAATAAAGACCGGATGGAGACACAGACTCTTCTGAAAATCTGATGAAAAGTAAGGAATTTCCCTTCCGAA